ATACTAGTAATTGTATAAGTAGAAATATTATAAAAAATAACAAACCGGGTGGGAATAAATCAAAGTGACGAATTGACAAAAAATTTTTTGATATTGCAATGTGTTCAATTTTTTTGGACAGAATACTCAACGCATCGCACAGCTTGTGAATGAAATTTACTTGACAATATTTATTTAAAAACCATAAGCAGCAGTTTAAGATCTCTCAAGTACGATTGAATGGCAGCTCGTCATCAGGATTAAATTTATAATACATTTTATTTTACATGTACATTAATTTTATAATAAATTTCATTACACGTTCGACTCCAGATCTCAGAACATTTTTTTCAAACACTGTCGAGGGCAGTTCTACGTTCCTGAAATATGATTGAATGGCAGCTCGAGGTACGGCTCGTTATCCGGACGCAAAAAGTGCTCATCGAGCGTGTACACGCGTCTCCACGAGAGAGTGACAAATACCATTCGGAATAAAACGAGACGGTCGTGAGACGCAGCTTTTTCATCGGGGACGGGCGATCGCCATTAAATCGCGTCGATTTAAAACAAGCGCAGATGAATTGAAACGATACGGGAACGGGCACGACACGGAGAGCGGCGAGGGGGTGAATGGGGTAGACGGTAATTAATCGAGACCGACCCGGCGCGCATCTGCCGCGAAGGCGACGCCTAATTAAACCGTCAGATTTCAAGAAAGCCAATCCACCGCGGCGCGTAGTGTACACAATGTTAATTGCATCGGTCACGATACCGATCTGTTAATTTGTACTATTCCGCGCGAACAATGCGTCTTCCGGCGCTGTATCTCAAATTGGATCCGCAACTGATACCCCCGTGCCCCGTGCGTTCACGCAGCACGCTGAACGCGCGCGTGTCCCGCAGTGGACGTGAAAAAAAATTACGTCTTCAGAATGAAAAAGCGCTGTCGGACACGATTCACCAAACGCGACACCTTTTAATATTTTCCTCTTTCACACGTACATACATACGTGATGGTATAATGTCAAAACTAGCTTTACATAAAATACAGTGCTCTTCGCTTGAATAGCCACGTGTCAAAATTGATATAAGGTAAATGTCCCAATTTCTATTCAGCTACTTACGATTTCGCTATCGACTGAATTTAAAAAATAATAGTTAATTAAATATAGTTGGAAAATATGTTTTTGTTGGAAATATAACAGGTTCCTGGTTTTCACATGAATACAATTTCCTATGAAAAATGGGATATTCGAGGATACCAAATGATCAGTACTGAAACACTTCAGAGATATACAGGGTGTCCCAGAAAATTGTTGAAGCCGAAGAGATGTGGTTTTGTACGTGTTTCTGAACAACGACTTCCTTTGGCAAAATGCAAAGTGACGCATGGTTTTTGAATTATTAACGAAAAACACTGACCAATAAGAACACGTGTAGGGCTCGCGCTGAGCCACGGCCGAGCGTCACAATCTGAGCCAACCTACTGACTGATACGTGGCTGAGCGCAGACCCTACGTGTATTCTCATTGGTCAGTGTTTTTCGTTAATAATTCAAAAACCTCAATAATTCAAATGCCTCTCTTTACATTTTACCAAGGGAAATTGTTATTCAGAAACATCTCCAAAATCATCCCTTTTTAACCCTAACACTCTTTCTGGTACACCGTGTATATGAATTTCAGTTATTCAATGTATAAAATGAAATTATATTATCATCAAATTGTTAAATTATAGACATTGTATTATGTGGTATAAAATCCATTATGTATTATTCCATTGTGTACACAGTTGTATCATCACTTAACGAGATATTATCGTAATGTGTGTAGAAAAATTGTATCATGACTTACATGTTTTATTGTACATATGTATAAACGTATCATCACATATGTTACGTCATATGACAGTATGATCATATAGTATGTATGGCCATATATTCTACATCGAACAGCTGTAGAATTGAAACTGGGCCTCATTTTATTCATAGATTTATTTATTTAGTTGAAACTACGTTGACTCTGCTTTCTCTTCGCTTTTTCTCAGTCGCTTTCGATTATTCCACGAATCGGAACACATTGCAATCAAATTTCTAGCGAAACGCCTCATTACGGGACTACATAAGTACGTATATAGACGGAAAGGGATAAAGTAACGCGTACTTCCGGCCGGGTCACCGTTGAAAACCGGAAGTGGACGTCAACAATGACATTCCTCCACTCGATCCCATTGGAACGATCCTTAACTTTCAAATGTCACTTAATGCCACGACTTCGCCGCGATAATGCAAATACTGCGTTTATTTTTTCATCGATATTTTTTATTCATCGAGTCTAAGCTAGAGCTTAACTTCGTTAGGGAAAGAACATCGTTTTTCCAATTCACTTAAATACCTAATCATTCAGTTACTTCTCAATAAATTTCTTTGTTTCCGATTTCTATGAATTTTGATTCCGCATTATTTTAAATTGACCCAAATTGCTTATCTAATTGGCAACTGGCAGAAATAAAACAGAAAGGTCTGAAATTTCTTCCCTAATTTTAGACTTTTGGTATTTATGCTATGACGAAATATCAGTATCTTCATTTTAGCATAAATTTACGAAATTTTTATCTCATTTAATATTTCGTGTAAAAATACTTAACTGAAATAATGAAAATCGTAACGAGTTTAAAGAAAGTCTTTAACTTAATCTTAAACATTTTGATACGTGACAATAAAATGAGGGTGTCTGTACTTATTACAGTATTGAAATATTAAAAGGATTGTCACTTACACGTACTTCACATCGTCTATGCACACTACATATGTATATCTACATATGTATGTATGTACTTGTACAAGCTGAGTCTATACGAAATGTCATCAGAAATAACGTGATATTCATTGATTTTACTGCAGACTGTAGAGTCTCACGATTTGCTCAAATACGAGAATGAATTCACTCACCAAACTTCC